AAGCGGCAGCCCTGGAGCTGGGGGTTAAGGGCCCTGCTCAGGCACCTAAGTGCAGCCTCAGTCTGCTGGCGCTGAGATTCAGACTATCAACCTCCCATTGACAGACACAGGGTACTAATTGCTGAGCCACACTCTACCCTATCCTATGCTATCATACCCTATCCTATGCTATCATACCCTATCCTATGCTATCCAACCCTATCCTATGCTATCCTATCCTATCCCGTCCCGTCCCATCCCATCCTATCCTATCCTATCCCGTCCCATCCCATCCCATCCTATCCTATGCTATCCTATCCTATCCCATCCCATCCCATCCTATCCCATCCCATCCTATCCCATCCCATCCCATCCCACCCCATCCCATCCCATCCCATCCCATCCCATCCTATCCTGTCCCATCCCATCCCATCCCATCCTATCCTATCCTGTCTTGTCCTGTTCTGTCCTGTCCTATCCTATCCACAGCCCTGACTAGGAATATGGATTGGCATAATTTCATGCACGAATTTGTCCATTGAACAATGTGGAACTATTGACATTACTAAGGCACAGAATAACACTGTAATCAGTAAATGTATTAATAATGCTACATTTGCACGTCAAAGATAACAGCTGGTAGTCTTATGGCTCAAGCCTGTACATTATGTTCCCTTTATAATCCAATAGATATATTTCTGTTGAAGCAGCAAAGATTTAAAAATGTGAAATTCATTATTCTCGACTGATAAAGAATTTTTGCACTTTGTCTTCTTGTTATCTGAAGAACAGCTCCAACTCAAATGTACTTATCTACAAGGGCACACAGCATGATCAAACATGTATTTCACCTAGATGTAGATGTTCATCAGTCTCGCTCCCATGAACAAGAAAGCCTATTTTTACATTCATGCCACTTCTGATTTGTTCAGTCTTTAATCTCTCAAGTCACATCATGTGATAGCCAAACAAGAAAAGTCATGTTAATGAAGCTACCACTTTTCCCAAATTAATCTTACACAGGAAACAGCCGTTACTGTCACTGTGTTCTGAATACCCAGAAGCCCCCCCCCCCCCACAGAACACTGTATGGCTTATTCTTTTGTAAGGAAGTTTACATGCTCTTTGTATCAGAGAATGTCCAGGCAATGTCCAGTTTTACATTTCCTACCATAAATCAATAATTAAATATTTTAAGTAGGGATTATAAGAAGATTGAGTAATTTTCCACTCTGTAACCTTTGGAAACTGTAAGCCTTGCGAAATATATATATATAAGAAAACAAGCCACACTGATTAGCTTATGCAGACGTATTGTATTGCAGAATACCTAAAGGCAAGCAACAGAGCAGCTAGTTCTGCTGGTCTCCTGCCCTTTCCCAGCTCGTGACCCACTGACCGACCCTAGCAGAGTTACATCTCCGGCTGGACTTCGGTCTGCACTGGGCCTTGTTTCCTCATCTTGGGGTTACGTGGTTTTTTTCTTGCTGACAAATTCATGGTCCATGTCCCGTTCACACAGGACGGATTTCTCTGCATTTCCCGCTCGGCCTCTTGGCAAGAATATATATATTTTTTCAAGTTTGGACTGATTAATGTATTACAGGTTCAAATTAAAATGAAGCAAATAATGGCTCTACATGGGCATATTCACGGTGCCACACAGGCAGAATCAATATTGCCCACTTCCACCAGACAGTCACACACACTTTCTGTAGAGCTTTCTGCCTTGTTATTGCGTGCAATAATTTTGGGCTGCTTTCAGTTCATGTGTTCATTAAATGATGTCACCTTATCACACTCAGACAGGGGCCACACAAAGACATATTAAACTCACATCCCACCAAACTTCTCTCACAATGAAAACCCACACCCTACGATCAAAAAGACACCAGCTGGTTTTTGATTGAAACCACTCAAGTGGATATAAAGCAAAAATAGCCTGGAAACAAAGGAAATATGAGAAGATTATTCCCAAGAGCAATTTGTCTGTGTCATGTTGTCAGAATGTATGAGACGGGCTTCATGTGTGGAACAGTGTTCATCAAGTTATTCTCAAATGAGTTTATGTGGGTGTAGAATAATTAAACTGAGTTTGTGGAGGCTTTATGGCCTTTTGTCTTTCAGTTTTGTCTGGTTTGTATTCAGAAACTAACCTCTTTAATTGATTGATCCATTGTCTCAGAGGGGATCTTCTACGAATACCAACGAATACCAAAAGGAGAACATGTCACTGAATTGCTTGTTCAGTTTAAGTGCAAAATAATTTTAATGGATATGCATAAAAAAATCACATAACTGATACCGTCCTAATTTAAAATAGCTCAATATAAAAGAAAAAGTAAAATACATACACCACCCTTCTAAAGATTTGTAAAAAGGGTTAGTAAAAATCCATCTTTTGGTGAAGTAGTATCATATCACACTGACAAAATGAGAAAAAATCCAACCTTTCCTTAAAATAAATTTATTGAAAGAAAAACATCAAGAAATAATTATTTTCAACAAAAACACATGTGCTACAATTAATGGCACCCCTGCTTTTAATACTTTGCACAGCCTCCCTTTGCCAGCATAACAGCACTGAGTCTTCTCCTATAACATATTATAAGGTTGGAGAATACAGAACAGGGCATCTGAGACCATTCCTCTTTACAGAATCTCTCCAGGTCACCCAGGGTCCTCGGTCCTCTCCTGTACACTCTCCTCTTCAGCTCAGCCCACAGGTTTTCAATGGGGTTCAGGTCAGGGGACTGAGATGGCCATGGCAGTAGCTTGATTCTGTGGTCAGCTAACCATCTTTGTGTTGATTTGGACATGTGCTTAGGATCACTGTCCTGCTGGAAGATCCAGTGAAGGCCCAGATTTTGTTTCCTGGCAGAGGCAGCCAAATTTTGATTTAAAATGTCCTGGTATTTCATGGAGTCCATAATGCCAGGTACCCTAACGAGGTTTC